GTTCCATGACTGATTAACTCAATTGCAGTTTGCTTTCTGCAAGAGTAGATTACTAAATTCCAGTATCAATTGCTTACTTACTGGTGCATGAACTGCTGATAGACACCAAGACTCCTTTGTACTTTAGTGACAGTAACTTAAGGTTCGTGTTTATATACTGATCACATACAGCCACTCTAAGTAATTACAGTAAACCCGTTGAGCTTAGAAAATTAGACACAATAATAAAAATATTAAATGTACATAAAAAAAAAACTTAAATTATTGAGATTAAATGGCGTGGGCTAGTTATGAGATTTAGCTAGTACGAAATATATTACTTTAACTTCAAAATTAAATAAGAAATAGATTTATAGACCTACTTTTAACATAAACGTGGCTTATTAAGTAATGAAAAATTATGATGAGAGGGTGTTTTCGATCTCTTTATCAATTAAGAGTTACAGTTTGCCCGTAGTTAACTTACTATGCTACAAAGGCATACCTCTGAAAGATAGGTTGATGTATCTATCTATTCTTGATATTGAGTAGTAGATTTATAAAATATTCCATTATTTATATTTAATGTAGGTCTCGTTAGGCGGAAACAAGTAGAGTCAGTATAATTTACACACCGAGACTGGTCTTGCCTTTGCTCTAATCTACAATCTCAGTGATACATTGTTTAAACTAATGGATTACTCATCCCACAGAAACCCTGGGTTACGACATTACCTTGCGTAGCTTGTTAGTTGTGGGGATGTTATGTTTTTGAATAAAGTCTTAAAACTATTTAATTCGTATTGTATTTTGATTTAAAACGTTCAGTTAGCTCGAAAAATCGTAATCAATTTTCGATTAAAAATCCACATAAGAATCTTTCGCGGGGTTTTTTTTATGCAAGTGATTTAAGTAACAGGCTAATGTGAAGATTAAACAAATTATACCAAGAAATACTTACTTATCTAACGATTGGATGAATCAATTTAAGGGCCAATTCGCTACATCTGGGTGATATAGTTGTAAATTGAAAGAAAATGCATTTGTGAATAGTTACAAAAATAATTGTTTACAACAATGAACTTTCAATAAAGTGTATACTCAGATGGGCTAGAATTTTACATTTTGTATACAACTCGTAATGGTCAAACTGGAGAAAATATTGAACTGCCTAATAACAAATTCAGCACAGGAACTATAACTAAAAATCACAAAATGTCGATTCGAGTTGCAAGCAAAAAAATACAACCTAAATTTGTTTAATTTGGATTCAGCATAACCTAGTTCAAATGATCAAAATCACACGTTGTCATATACTTTGAACATAAATACTGATTTATATGCTTACTAGACATATTCGATTTAATATTTATCGTTTCTTAAAACTACTCAATATGCCTGTTTGTCAGTAAAAAAAAACGTTTTAGAGACATGGAACAGAATATTCACTATTAAACATTAGTTGTGGAAGTTTTTACATTATACGTTGTTAGGTAGGTTGTTCTAATATGATATGGCATTAAGAGATGTATTTAACAACTAAAGGTGAACATTTTATCAGCAATGCTGGGGCTAACGAGGCCAGATCTCTCCCAGACTAATGATTGCAATCAACAGCTCAACGTTCAGAGTTGACTATTTCACGTTAAATTCTAATGACCATTTATAATGAAAATCCTTGGTTAGAAATATTTACATACATTTGAGTTTACGTACACTTTTCAAACGTCCTAATTCGTTGGTTACTGTATGTCTTAGATGTTTGAACGAAAAAATGTTTGCCTGTGTGTACAGAATACATTATTACTCAATTTCATTGCAGGTGTGAAAGTCTATTCTAGTTAACGTCTTACCTGCAGGATTTGATGGATTTAGTTAGAAATATCCCTGGATAAAACCAAATATACTATATTTTACTTGCTTTACTGGCATTATCCTCACTGAAGATCCAATCTATTCCATGGAAGGCTTACATGAAAAAATTCATAAAAATTAAAAATAAAATCATAAAGTGTTTAAATTAAAACTAAATCGTAGAATTTATTAATTGCAATGTTGATACAATGCAAATTGTCAAGGCAATAAAGTATGACAATAATAATAATAATAATAATAAATGATTTTATTATTATTCTTTTGATCGTTATATTTATGATAGTTAGAACTCTGAAATTTTTATTTAAACCTTACTATATTATTACATTTTATGTGGACATCGTATTTCGTCATAAACTTAATACTGGTGTGACGACTTTCTATTATGCTGTAAATAAAATGAACTAATGATGTTTAATCACCCAACCAGACCTGTCTTACGTATAAAGCAGTGGTTTGAATATATAGTTTCTTGTACGAAATAATACTAATTGGATCTAAACAAAATTCCGTTAAAACCATCCACCTGAAGCTGTGTTGACCTCCAGCAATTCATGGCATAGAAATTATGGTCATAAACAATCTTCATCAATTAAATTTTTGAGGATGCATTTAATCTAGTTTCAGGAAATTTTCTTTAAACGCTTGATTAGAAACATAGTAAAGTTAGTTTTATACAGGGTGTATGTTTAAGTTAAGTAATGTAAATCATCGTGGTCTACACATCAAGGTTTGCCCCCTTGACAATGGGGATGATCCAAAGTGTCACATTTGTCATCACAAGTCCTGGATTTACAGGGCTCATACGACGGTGTTTGAGGTTCTTACAAACTGTTGTACAGGCTTTGCCCATCAGGCAGTCTGGTTTTGAAATTAACGGTAAAACCATAAAAATGAACATATTATTTTATACAGATTAAATATTTAAGTGAATGTTAGATTTTAAAATGTATTTCCAGGTTAGGTACTCAAATGTATTTATTTAATCCCACATATGAAAGAATTTTTGAAATGTGATGTTCCAATTCTGTAATATGTTATTCAAGTTTAAGGTATTTATCTATGTGTCGTTTATTGGATGTATGTGTTGTGTATTTAATCCATCAAAAAAGCTAATAAAGCTAATTAACGTATTTCCTTGCCTATAGGTGTGTAGGTGTACGTTTTTTATAACCGCGGATCCAGTTTCATTAAATTTGTATGTCAATAATATTTGATTTGATAGGTACTAAAACAATGCATATCAGCTGATCAGCAATGAAGTAGAGGAAATAGAGATACCAACATACAAGGTGGCTGAAAAGTAACTTGCACCCCCCTTAACTTTTAAACCTTTTGAGAGTAAATCGGTTTGCGACAACCTTATAATATGAGGGGCTATAATAATGAGGGGCTAAAATAGTTTTGGTTTCTTTTGAAAATTCTTTTAGGGGTAGCAGGGGTAGGAGGTAGCTCAACATTTTCAATGGCCAAGTATAGTCGAATTTGGTATCATTTTACAGGTCTTGACAAAACTAAACCATTGACATAAATAAAACCAAAATCGGACCAATAATAACAAAGGGGGCCCTAAAACGTCTTGAATCAAAATAACCATGAGGGTGGCTGAAAATTAACTTGCAACCCCCTTAACTTTTGAAATATTGGATTTGAAACGTTTTTGGGGCGTCATTTTGTTATAAGTGGTCCGTTTTTTTGTTTTCTTTATGTCAATTGTCTAGTTTGTCAAGGCCTGTAAAATGATACTAAGTTCGACTGATAAAATACAACTAAAATTCGACTAATAAATAAAAAACAGGTATATTTTTTCTAAAAATTATGAAAATACTAATATTAAATAATAAATCAATACTCATATACATGGGTGGAAATAGTGGACAAGGACGATCAAATGTACTCAATATCTCATTTTAAAAGTATAATATAGTTTTTTACTTAATTGATGCAATTCAACGTATTCATAAAGTTAAAAAAACTACAATTAACACTTAAAAACCTAATCACAAATATAGGTTACATTTACACGAGTTCTACAGAAATATGTTATGTACACCTATGTACAATCATACAATTTTATAAAAAATGTAATACTATTCACATGATAAGGGTGTCTTTTCCTCTCGTAGTTTGATATACGTCGTAACTAACTGATACTTAAATACTACTGTTTACAAATATTCTGTGTTGAAATGGATACATTGCAAGGACATAGGGAAACACTTGACACAAATGTCCACGTGCAAACATTTTGTTCACATCTATTTAACAACTAACAATGTTATTTTTATCTTTTTGCAAAGAGTACAGCAAGGGCTTTTGATAGTAGTTAAAATATACAAGAGTTAACAGTTTTAAGTCACTTGATTAAACAAACAGATAAACCTCTATGCGTTGTAAAGGGCTGAACAATATTAGTACAATTGAAATATTGTAGTTTTTAAATTCGTATAGTTTCTGAAATTTCTTACGTACTTATTCTAATCATTTAATAAAAACCATAAGAGCTTAGTTTAAAACTACTCTTAAATGTTTTAATGACGATGGTGTACACCGTACACTACCTTTACGTAAATACTTAAATTGTATGTTAATCTTAGAATTAACAAATTAAAGTTTGTTAAGACCATTTTCTTGTTTAAAGAATGTGTTATTCAAAAACAGATTTGTCACCAAGCAGATAGTGAAGCTTTTGAAAAAAGGTCTAGTAAAGGGAAATTTGTAAAAATCTAAAACTTATCAAGTATAAGTATGAAGTATGTAAGTATGAGTAATGTATGAAGTACATTATTTTTACGTCATTTTGAAATTATGCCATAAAAATCCTCATATGACTCACCTTTGCATAGAGAATATAACGATATTTTATTTTACATTACACAAGTAACGCCATATTTACATTACATTTACTATAGTATGCATCGTTTTGGGAACAATATTATGCTTTGGTTTACTTTTTAGTTATAGAATATAGTTGGGATTGCATATTAATTATTAGGTTGAATATTTCAATAAATAATTTAAAAAAAAACTCATTTAAGTTGGGTAGGTACCTAATAATAATCAGCATTTAAAATTGTCTATATAATATAGATGAAGTATACATACGCTTACATTTTTAATGGAAACCGAAAAAAAACTTATTATAAACTTCAAATATGTATTTAAAGTTTTAAATTGAATTACAAGTCCTTTAGGTTTTTATATAATAGTTACCAGTGCATTAGAGGTTTTTATGTAAACAAACTTCGAGAAGAATTCAATCAATCATCTACGATAAGCCGTTAAAGAATTTTCATTCAAATAACCTTAGTGCAACATATTTGAAGTGAGAATGGTAATACAATCAGGAGAAAGAATATTTATCGGTACAGATACAGATTTATGGATCTTATGTAGGAATTACAATATGTTTCAAAGCATATTTATCAAATGCCTTCAACGAAATGTTCTATTCAATGCTAAACTCTTTTTGATAAAAAGAGGTGTTGATGAAATATATTACATACATTGTTTGTTATCATATGTTTAGGAAACAGCTTACGTTTTACACCAAAAAATGATGCCTTTTTATGCACCTTTACAAGGTACACTATTTGGATCACATTTAAATTATGATATGTCTTATATAGATACATTACCGGGGTACCATAATTTTCTCCCTAGAAAATAAGTCCATTATTTACTTTCTTTTTAAATAATCTGAATCGCGGAAAAAATCTCTCTGTAGTAAGATAGTAGTTCCATGATTCACATTATTCAGAAGATTTTAGTACATAAGTGTAGTCACATTTCTGACTGTGAATTCTCATTGTATAGTACTGAAGTAGGTAAATGATACTGATGAATATGATATTTTACTGTTGATACACCTGGACATTCTATCCCTATATTAAATTGTCACCAGATTATAAATCAAAAGGGACGTTGAGTTGAACCACAGAATCGTGCTGATATAAATTACTGATTTGTGTCAAATACGCAAACTTTTTGACCAAGGCAACATTAGTTGTGAGCTACAGCATCTTTTTTGCCACGTGAACTTTCTCAGTTGCATATAAGGTAAGAGAAATGTTTATGTTGACCCTGTGACTGGCTCATTCGACTATGTTCTGTTTGTATAATCGGTAACAGCTGTTCTATAATATACATATCTGATTCAGTATTCTAAAGTCAATGCTACCGTGTTGTCTACAATATCTCCACGTCTCTGTGAGGACTCAGTGGTGGTCTGAGTGACAGCCCTGACCCGTTGTAGACAGTGAGAGTAGTAACGTTGCTGATTGTCGATTCTCTTTTGTTGTAGTGTTGTGGAGCCAAGTGACTATCACTTGCAGTAGATTCTCGCTTTATTGGAGCTACGTGGTGACTGCTGTATAACCTGGAACCACATGTCGCAGCTGATTCTTTTACGTAATTTGTAGAATTAATAAATTCAATTGAAAAGGAGATCCGATAAGTCGTAATACAAACTTGGTTTAGCTATTGTTGTAAAACTCTCTGGTTGGTGTAGAATACTAATTCTGAAAAATGCTTACACAATTTAGCATTTCGAATGTTCTGATCACAATGTAATACAAAATACATCCCATACGCCCAAGGATATCCTTGCCATTACCCAACATTTGCATTATTTTTGTGGGTATATCTGCATGTGGCAATTTTTACGATTTTGAAAAAGCTCTAAATAGGTTTTTCCAATGCTTGTCTAATAGCAATTTAAGGTTGCTATTTTGATGAATAGTTTTATCAATCTGTAGCCCAATGGCAAATGACATCTGCTCTATGTACGATCTTACTCGTACGGTAATCGATTAGCTACAATTAGATTCAAAGGCAAACCTTAAAGGATATCATCAACCTATTACTACCTGCATGGATCTCATGAATTATGGGTTTAGCTGGTAGTGGAATGAGCACACAGCTGATCAACCAAACATGCTGGATAGGGTTGATTAGAATCATAATAAATAGCAAGCCAGAATGACAATGTCAATAAATACGTAATCAAAGGAGCTCTGAAAAATAACATGGAGAGTCATTTATCCATGGAGGGTACAGGTTCTGTTCCAAATCGTTAGGGAATGATTGTCTGCAGGAGTATTACTATTACCTGATACTGTCAGTCCGAGTGTTGGGGGACCAATCCTTGGGCCAGTATCTACGGTTGGCGCCAATATCTCTGCTTTCCCTCCAAGTCTCCCAGTGATGACGTATTGTGTTCTGCACCTCTGTGTTCAGGAAGCAGTAGAAAAGCGCCACTGTGAAACCCTGAAAGTATAAATTTATACATTTACTAATATAAATTTACTTCAGCACATTGTCTTTGCAAACTATTGGTACGATTTATACAGTGAGGTGTCCGTGCCATGGTTGTCTTAGAATATCAATCATAATATCTTTTCCTAGAATTAATAGTATAAGTACACATAACTACTATATTGCAGTATCGGGAATTGTGTTTTTTTTTTCATATTCATACTAATGCCGCATGATGAATCATAATTTTGTGAGTCAAGACAAGCTAAAATAAATTATTTAATATATTTTGTATGATTTTAATTAGCTTTAGCTTACCTGTAAGGACAATAGCAGGGCCCGACAGTATGTATAGATAGCCACACCTTCTGAGGGCCAAGCTATGAACAGTATGTAGGTAACCCCTAACAATGGTATCAGCACTATCAGCGCCTTAGTAGCTTTGCGATACTGCTGGGTCTCTAGGGTGTTTGCTGACCTAAGTTTGGTGATCAGCACCTGCAAATAGAACAGTTAGGATACAAAAATGTTTAAGTCCATTGATAGTTATCATTATATTGTTAGGTAAGATTTTAGTAGGGCGTGTTAAAGTTATGAACAATTACCTTTAAATACAAGGTTTGGTTAAATGTTTTGTTATGTAAATTTATTTTAGATCTTAATGTCTAATAAATTATGCCTATAACTACATATATCTAATCTCAAACAGTTTTATTTGCCCCTTTTTCAGTTTGTTTTTCATTGCAAGCTAAAGTATTTCAAGGTCGTGCTTATTTTATTATTTTTTTTCTTGATAAAATCAAATATTATTTGTTATTGAATTACTATATGTTAAAGTATTGTTTCATTATTTTGGGGAGCGACCTGGCGTAGTGGTTAGAGCGCGGGACTCCGGTCCCTGAGGTCCCCAGTTCGATCCCCGCCAACCAATGTCTTAAGTCACCAATGGATTTTATCTAAGTAATAATGCCGCAACCCCTAGGTTTAGCCTGAAGTAATGTGAAAAAAAACAATTCCAGGCTCATGCCTAGTGTCCTAGGACAAAAAAGTATTATTTTAATAAATAAAAATGAATTGACCATGTGAATATTTTCTTTATTTTAAACCTGTATGTTAAATAAATATTTGTGTATTAGTTAGATTGTTTAACTATAGCGTTTCATATATTCAGGCATATATTCACATAGTTGACTTGGTTGGTTAAATAGTTTGTAGTTATGTCGAGTATCTCACTTACCCACATTATCATGGCCAGGAATATAAGGTTTATAGCCAACACCGCGAGAGCCGGCCCCTGGAAAATCCAATCCAGAAGATGCTGAGTCATCCATGGACAATGCCTTTGATCTCCCTCCACCTGGTTTGGAACAAAGCTCTTTAAAATTATCCTAACGTAATCTGCTTATTATTATTTAGTTATGTATGATAATAAGTTCTTTATTACTGAGTTGTATACCCATAAAATAAAAATTATTGTAATGTCTGTAAAAAATTGGAAGATGAGTGGTTAAAGAGTTGATCTGACAATCATAAAGCTGCAGGTTTGATTAAAAAAGTAGATTATTCATAGCTCAAAACTGTACCCTAATGTCCCCTGATCCCCTAATGTCCCCTAATGTCCTGTGTTGTAATCCTGATAATCAGGTGATAAATTAACAATACTGCCAAAATAAATGGATGATCTTAGTCAGTAACAGGCTACAAAGATTATCTCACTCCATTCTACACTCATCCTTAATTCATTTTCAGTTCAAAATACATACCTGGGTGTGCGTCACTGTCTTAAAGTAGTGGCAATAGTGATACCATTTAAAATAGAATAACTAAAAAATAGGTTTTTATGTGAGGCTCCAAACAGTAAAAACAAATATCCACAATAAAAAAATTTTGTGTACATTTAAATGAACTTATAAAAATAACACAAATAATACAAATACGATAGTGAACCATGGAAATTACGAGAGCCACAATAAGCGTACAGTAGTAGTATTAAAATAAAATGAAATAAAATTCTTGGATTATTGTGTGGAGGTGCAATATTCAGGCCTATTTAAAGATCGTAGTTAATAATTATTTTGGCCAGATTTGTTTTAACAGGGCCGTTTAAAGCATGATTCTACCAAATAAAATCCATATAACTAAAGGCATAATATAGCAATAAATTTACATGCAAAGATATGTCCATTCAATGTGGAAAGAAAGACCTTTGTTTCTAGGCTCCTCATCAATTAATAGTACTGTATTAGTTAATAATTTATTGTTCAATTCAATTTATACGGCATAATCTGACATGTAGGCCTATTTAGAGAGAACATGCAATCAATTGTAATCTGTGTATTTAGTCTCCTGAAATGGTGCATTTAGAGATGAGATATTTGATACCACAATGGATTCAATACATTGTTTAAGCTAAGCATATTTAGTTTAAGCCAATTTATAGATTAAATTTATTATTTAGCCACGGTCAATAGCGTCCGTAGTTATAAGTAATAAATAAAATAATCAAACAAATCATTTTTAGTAAATCTCAAGAGCAAGGTTATACTGATCATATTATATGGAGAGACGTTTATTTACGTTGAAATGAAATGAAATGAAATGAAAATCGTCTTTATTCTTGAGCGTTTTTCATATTACAACATATGTTTTTCAAAACAACTCACGTCAACATAAATAATATAAAACAAAGGCAACTTTCAAATCTTAAGTTAGGCTAATTAAAAATTAAAATATGTTCTCTATTCCTAATTATTTTACCATTCTTCAAGCCATTTGTTATATATTTTTTAAACGACTTTTCACTGTCCAACACCCCTGGCTCAGTCCTGGATGACAATATATTCCAGATTTTCGTTGCAGATACATATAGTTTTAACACAAGCATACAAGGTATCATACAGTTATACTATAGAAAAACGTTATCACCTTAAAGCAGCTGTAATGAATAATTATTCAATCAAAATAAGGTTACTCACGTGCATCTTGTGATTGAACTCATCCGCAGCCTTCGCTATCGCCCACACTAGAATGAATATCAAGGGAGCACCTGCAAAAAATATTGGAGAGTGAGCTGTTTTAAAGAGGTTCCACAATAAATTAAACTAGATTTATAACTTCTGAAAATGTTATCGGGAAAGATGCATGTACTCGTTATTACTTAAATATAATGGAAAACGATTTTTCATCCCGAATATTTAAACATTGTTTAAATGTGGTAACAGTTCATTGAGAAATTGTTCTAATGTCTATAACATGTATATAGTAAGCTTTGGATTTCAATAGAATAAGGAACTAATGATAACTAAACTTGGTATCACATAGGCCTATTGATTAAAAATCGGAAAGATTTTATTTTCTATAGAAAAACATTATTGACGATTTAAGAAAATTTGTTTTTGTTTAGGTTATTAAGATCTGAGAGATCAGGATTAGGCTATTTACTAATACGAGTAATGTCCAGTGGTCGAAACTCGACCAAAAATATGTAATGTACTCACTTATGTTAATGTTTCACCCCACAATAAAACATGTGATTGGAGTTTCTTCCATTTGTTTTGATTTTCTGTTTATATTTCGTTGTTATTTCGTCACCAGCATGGCAACGCATAAGATCCATGTAAATTTTTTCAAATTTTTAAACTCATTTTTTGCGCTTATCTTTGAGCCTATTTAAATTTATAAAGGGATTCTGCACACCTACAGGAAAATAGCTTTCTAACAGTATGCGTAGATTTTCCCTACGATGCACACGAGCTGAGAAAAAAGGTTTTAAAGAAACATGCTTGCCTATTAATATATAGATAGATTAGCCAGTAAATCTCTAGTGAAATTTATAAATGGCTTACCCCAGCCAATGAAGATGTATGCTCTCAGTTTTATATGTTTTCTGTTGAAGGTTTCCACCACCAAGATATAGAGGTATAAACCTGAAATAAAACAATCAGAAACACTTATATACAATATAAATTAGACCCTTACTCATACTGTATCAAAGGTTAAGTTTACAAAGAGGAATTTCAATTAGAAAAAAATAACCTTATGGTAATAGAGGACTAAATAAAAACCATAAAATTAATTACTGTAAAGCAAGCGTCTATGATATACACACATTAATAGACTATTTTATAAAAAGTTCAACATGTAAAAATAAAAATATTACATCATATAATAGAAGATTGGTATATTAATTTGAATCAACATAAGGGCTACAAAGAACAAAACCACCTACAAACGGTAAACCCTCTTGTAGGAAGCAGATAGATTGAAAGCTGCTTTTCCTAAAGCCCATTACATACTTGCCCCTGAGAGGGCTGGCCAGAACTTCATGTAATAGTGGACTCGTGAATTTATGCACTTAATTTAATACATTTTAGTTAATTCCGTTTAGTGTACCAAGAAACGTAAATGCTTCTTCACGATTGTACTTATTGGAATTCAAACTACAATATCATAAACACGTGCTTTACATATATCTTAGCAAACTAATATAAAGTATTGTGCTTAGTTTTTTGTTCAAAAACTATGTTTGTATTCTGTGTCACAATCAAGTTTAATTACTTTACCACTTTGAAAGATACATTTTGCTTATTGAGATCTGGCATTTTTACTTGTATTAATACAAAGTCCCATTAAGGAGGTGTGTAATGCTTAAAGGAAAACTACTTTACTTTCTCTAATGAACGATACTCCCAAAAGGTGGAAAATATTGAAAGTTGATTTAGGCTTATGAAAACCAACGTTTTAAAACTCGATCCAGATTTTTTGTAGGAGTATCAGTCGTAAAAAAAAAACACTTTATAAATGTACGTAATTTTATTCCACATTTAGGTGCATGTTATGTACATGTAATGTGTATATCTAATGGCTACAATCTCAACAGCATTATACACGTGGTGCTTATAATTAAAAATGTTGTAGCTTAATCTAATGCTGCTTTTAGTTACTTTCCTTAAGCTTTAATTTATATAAAATCATAAATAAATTGGCAATACCTTCGACAAACATCCAAAAGAAGTTGGTTAGATGGAAGTAATGAAGCAGAATAATCAGAACAGCACAGAAATGAATGTTTGATTGGCCGGATACCTGAAAAGTGGTAGACACATTTTGTAAAAAAACTTTATTTCAAAAGACTTTTACAATTTTAACTTTGATGGCTTTTAAGATAAATCAGAAATGTTTATAGTGGATTTAATTCATTTAATTAAATATTTGTTTTTGTCCATCACTTTATTTTGTTTGAATGTTTGCCATTTGATAAAAGTGCCTATAACAGAATATTATTACGATTAATTATGTTGAATCAAGAAGCTTTTTTATTTAATCACGGAAACTGTGACCGTCTAACAACTTAACTAAGACGACGTAGAAAATTTATCTTCTTATATTTTCTGTACACCTACCTATAACATAGTCTACATGGTATTTATCTGTGGAATGGATGTTGTCTTAAAATTATAATCTTAAACGGTCTTTGCCTTACGTTAAAATACTTGCTATTATAGGCTACTGTTTTGTACAATTAAATTCCTTTAAAAAAAAGGAATGATGACGTTATTTTTTAAGCGTAACATTTTATTCAATCATCTTACTAATTGTGTGAGGTAAACATCTAAAGATTACCATGACACAAGCAATAGACTATTTTTATATAAATGCTCGTTTAAAATAATATTTTCAAAAACTGATTTTCGTTTCAAAAACGATTTAAAGAAACTAATCACATTTTCTAGTAACCAATATCAATAAAACCTTATTTAATCAGGTTCACCATTAATAACCTTTTTGCCATCAGCTGATGAAAACGACACAACGATTAGTCACGCGTCAACAAAAGCGGATTAACTTTATGTCAAAAACAAATTTCATTAGTCTTTTGTTTTTATTCCCCCAAGATAAACGTAGTTTATCGGATTAAATCTGGATCGCAAACACCAAAACGCCGGCAGCGAGATGAGTATTAGCCGAGGTTCGATCCTCTTATGGAGAATTTCCCCTATTTCATAGATTACATTTTATGCCCATATGGAAGAAGCTATTACCGTAGGTGGCATGGTAAGACCTGGACCCGGGATTGATTTAATTCTTAGTAGAAAACCTTGAAAGAAATCACGAACTTGCAGAATCGAGTTATAAAACTGGGTGTTTTAAAGTTAACAAAGTTTTCAAAAATTGTGTTTTTTCCATTTCGACCCCTAAAACATAAAAATGCCCACTTTTTATTACAACCATATTGTAGAGCTCAAAAACAAATAATATTGTACATTAAAAGGGTCGTGGAACAACTATAGGTCAGGATGGAATTTAAAACAACTGTACATTTAAATATTTACAGTATATTTTGTCTTTAAGGAGAATAAGTAAACTGTTGTAGTCTGCCTTATTATAGGTATATTTTTTATATTTTATGTTATTGAAATAAGGAACAAACCTGCCATTTTTAAGGAAATATTTTATTAAAAATCTAGTCAGACGAATTGGAAATAATTTAATCTGCAGGTCTTCTGTGGCAGAGCTATCTATATATTATAGATCCAACTGTGTATACTTTATAAATTTTTAAGGTTATTAAAATAAATTTGTCAACTATTCAATTATTGATACCAAGAAAACAATCTTTAAAATCCTGTTATAGAACGTCATCGCTATTTCAGAAAGTCCTCATTACTGATTTCACTGTGGGCAATGATACATCTTCAATGAATAGGATCGACAGTTATGTATCACAATACTCTTAAATTGTTCAAAATTCTCAATTCCTATACAGTCAAAAACTAAATATTTTGATATATCTTTGTAATATATTACAAATATAAAGTTCATTAATTAGAAAGTAAGCTAAGAATCAAAATATCCTTACTTGTAATTGCAGAGTGAGAATCCACATGAAGTCAGCTAGAATGTAAGAACTCATCAGGTTTGTGTGAATCGTGTTCCTCAAACATTTTAAGTCTCTGAAAACATAATAATGATAACAAACATTATTCACAATAAGAACACAATACACAATTAATGTCTAGAAATTATCAATACCACAACGTATCAATTAAGTCAGATATTATTTACCTAAGGAATAATAATGAATAATATTCACAATATATCTGGTATTGCTTTGTCTACAATTTTCAGCATCTTCACTTTTTGACCAATTGGCTAATCTACTAGAGACAAACAATATGTTGAGTGATAAAATTCGCGATTTAAACCGTTTATAAAATATAATAGAGTGAAAATTAAATCGTGTTAAGGGTGAACTTAAATCAATACCTTTACATTCATGGACAAATAACAATCTAAATTGGTCAAATTAGAAAAAGTATAACCACCTAAAGTGTTTTTATTATTATTGTTGTTAATTGTTTTAACTGAAGATTAATCCGAGGTAATGTGTAAAAGTTATGTTAATGGTTAAATGCTCTTTATACACCGATGCCATTAGCGTGTGCCTAGAGTACTATTAGCACTTACACTGCAATGGATATGGAGTGTCATTGCTACTGCTTGTAAAATGAAACTGGTTAATAAGATCATTGTTGAATCCTTCAAACTCTGGTTAGTTATTTTAACAACTTTTATAATTGTATAAATGATTTTGACCGTATTTGAAATCAGGTCCTCAATCCTCAATAATTCCGTGGCTCAATGTGAACTATCAGAAGCAAATAGTAGTTTTTTTTTTTTTATTTTGACATAAAACAAAGAAAATATTTACATGATTATAAGGTTATTTATGTGTTATTTGACTACAATGGTGATTTATTTATCGGTATAGTGATCAATACTACTGAGCTACCAATATGTAAGTTTTCTTCTAGGTAGGATCCTTGTATTATGAAGTTATTGATTATGAACAACAGCCCTTGGTTTTGCAGATATTTTTGTTAAACTATTGACAATATTACGTTGAACTACTCACTATGGCTTTAATAAAAATTGAAAAAAATACAAACCAAGTTCTTTGAGTATCGTTCAAGCAAAAACTGTTTGTGGATAGATAATATTGATAACTACTGTTTATTTAATTATTGACGAAAATTTTCATCTATAAAAGCTATTATATTTCTAAAACATTGAACAGCTAATGTTATAAAATATTATTGAAATATCTTATAACATAGCGTTTTGTTACAATCCTTCCGAGTTTGATTTCGTAATTATTAACAAAATACATGTTGACAATGTTTGGAAACCCCTCATGAAAGTTTAAATACAACACAGTAAGTTAAGTGAAGTTCCAGTGTATATAAATAAATGTATCGTGTAATGAAACCTTTAAAGCCAACATAACATGAAACCCTACAAGAATATAATTTGGTTTGTACAAACAATGACAAGCAAGAGAAATCAGTACGACTCCTAACAAATTACTTCTCTGTTTGTATGTATAAAAATCCTATGAAGAATTATTATGTTTATGAGACATTTTAAAAGATTTTATTTCATAATCACGAGAAAGTAACTGTAGAGTGACTATGCTATCTAGAATCCATACCTTATTCCACAATTATAAGGAACTAATAATTATATTCTTCTCAAAGTCTTAAACAAATAACTTAGTATGAGCTTGTATGGTATAATATTTTTGAATTAAATAGTCGTCATAAGTTCAAAATTTAATTTATATGATCGATTATACTAATTGCTAGCTTAGAGCATGTTGTTGAAAAATTATAACTATTTTATTTATCCATGTATTTTATTTGTTTCACAAGTAACATCCTATATTTGGTCGCCTGGTCATTTCTTACCCCACAGAAATAACCGTATGATCACAAAGTTTCCCTCTCAAAGGATCGTATTATTACCCTTATCAAGCTATATTTTACCAACCTTTTCCTCTATATTTGTCAAAACCGTATTTACTTTCTACTCGTTGGTAAAAATATGGATTTCCTTCCAGAAACTGCGATAAGAAGCACTATAACCATACAATACATTAGGTGGTATGAAAAATAAATGTAATTTTTTATGTTGTAAAAAACTTCTTTATTTAATTATGTTACAACATTAAATGTCTACCGTGAGATATTTCTACATACACTATGGTAAATATTTACATATATTATGAACACACACAGACACACACACACACACACACACACACACACACACATATATATATATATATATAACCTCTAACTGGCCTATAAAACGTGTATGACATATGGCATAGCGTGGTTTAAGCTTGTTATTTAATTTACTTGATCAATTCAAGTTTTGTTGCTGTGTACACACCGTAGATAATTTTGAAAAATTACAAAATGAACAATGTAATAACATTGTGTAACAATATTACATTGTGAGGTATACTTTAAACAAAACTGTCCATCCTTTAAAACACTAAATTCAAGAATATTATTTTATACATTTATCATCAAAACTATTTAGTTTGTGTTTAAAAAGTCAATACTATAATTGCCGCAAAACTAATACAACCTGGCACGTCGGCGTTTTCAAATTTACAGTAGAAGGGAAAAACAAATATTCGATGTGTGGAAATGTCAGATCGTTAAACACTCAATGTTTGTTTGTACATTCACCCCTCTTCCAAAAACGCAAATACACTTTAGCACAAAGGCTGCATACAGGCTTAATGACAGCATACATGCAATGTTGTATTTATGGTGTAGAACAATCCAATAGTTTTAAAACGAGTTGCTTGATTAGGTAATAACATTTTATCTATTCTACCTTTGATTTAAATATCTTAAGTTATCTGATAATGGCATCAAATTTTAAAATATTAATTAATTTTGAATATAAATTAAAATTATCACCATAATTGCAGTTTGTTGGTCTTGTTACTTTATTTTCAAGTTTGTAACAAACGTAACAAGTTATAGTAAACGTATTCCGTTTCCATCGCACGTTTAACATACAATGTGTTTCAACTTTGATGGAGTTTAATTGATAAATAAAGCTAAATGAAGAAGTTGTTTGGATTGGATAAATAAATGTGTCCGAACTTCTCTACAATTTTGACTTATCGTTTTCAATACTCATTGCAAAACAAAAAGGTTAGGTTAGTTTGTATAAAAGTAATCATTGTTAACGATGTCTCCAGTTGCTAAATATACAGGGTGTCCCACGAAGAGATCTAAACGTTTGATTTCATATTTCTTACCCATTTATTGACCGAATATTTTGAAACTCTCCACACCATTATAGAGTAGGGTTTCAAAATATTCTGGGAAGTTTTTAGCTCCCTAACCCTCGTGGGAAAAAATGAAGGCATATTGAATTGTTGACTAATTATACTAAATTAATTAATTTATTATCATTTATTAAACTAGCGAGTAGTGATGGATCAGAGTTTGAATAATGTTTGACTTTTCTTATAGGTTTTACATTAAGCTATGTTCTAGTTTCGTGAGAAAGCTTTATTTCCCTAGAATATAATACAAATCTTTTACAAAACAAAAAACACAACTTTTAATGTTATAAAGTATAATTTTTCAATATGACACCATTTTGTTTTTACAAGGGGTAGAAAGCTAAAAATGTTCAAGAATATTTTTGAAACCTGCTTCATTAAATGTGTAAAGTTTCAAAATATCTGGTGCGTAAATGGGCAATTAATATAAAATTAAACGTTTAAACCTTTTTCGTTGGACACCCTGTATTTAGTGATTGTGACAAAATCAAATGTGACAAACAATAAACTGATTGTACTCCTATATACCTATAATAATAAAAATGATATTGCAATGTATTGTTTACTGACTTATAATAAAGCTATACAACACAAAGGATTTTTTTCACACATAGTATATTAAGGTTGACTAAACACTTTCGTTGATATTAATGTCTACGCAATTTATGTATTAGGATACTTAACTGTATGGCAAGAACAATTTTTCAATTTGAAAAATAAAACTTTTCTTTATGGGTATTCTTTAACTACTTTTAATAAAATTATTCTCGTTGCAATGGACATAACACACATAATTTCAATTCATATAGTGACTTAACATAAATAATTTCTTTGGTACAAATCTCTACAAACAATTTATTTCCAACACCTAAAGTATATTTAACTTTACGGCACTGTGTTGGGGAATAATAAAAGTTTAGTGATTTAGAGTGTCGTTATATTTCGCTCGGGTAAAATCTTATAAATATATTGCAAAGCAGAGGTGGAGGACCAATGTTTCAAAGTGTAAATGTTTTTAAGTTTTACCTATACAGTGATAATAATGTGTTATTACATAAAGAATTTAAAGGTTTTAATTTTGAATTACTGTACATGTCAAGCTGACATTTGACGGTTTGGATTCAAAATAGGTTCAATTTGGAAATAATAATTAGATATAAAATATGTAAAAAAATTGATATTATATTCGCAATTTTCAGTCATTTCACTTTTTCAATCTTTCATCGTTATATACTAGTCTGTTTTCCATGTCGAAGACTTAATACAACGCTCGAATCAATATGTTGGATATTTTTAGATAATAAACAAAGAATTAATAATTCATATGAGATTCTCACTATTTGCTCGAGTATTTTTAGAACATCGATGGATAGAAGCGCAGTTGAATAAAGCCTGTTCGATACACATGACGGATGGATGTGACATGAGAATTGCCATTTTAATTATTGATGAACTGGATCAAACTGGGCCAATGTCGGACGTAAAATATACTTAGTATGACATATCAAATATTGCTACATGTCAATTATTACATACATGGTATATAACCACCGCATTTATACCTTTATCAAAGTCTATCTGTTCACAATTATATTGCAGTTTTATCTTTCAACAAACATTCTTACCAACAAAGACTTCGCACTAGAACCTTTTTGAACCGTTCATATTAATAGTTTTTACTTATAAACAACTACATTTTGTACGGAATAGTTAACCTTGTAGCATGCAAAATTCGTGAAGAATGTTGTAAATTCTTTGCGTTGTAAAGTTTATGGTTCTGGTTTTACGAGCTATGTAAATTCTTTATCTTTTTGCACAAACGTTTTCTAGAATTAAATATGAGCAGCTATAAAACAACTTGTGTACATGTTTTAGAAATGTATTATGTTTTGAAAAGATAGTTGCTTCGTCATGAATGAAAAGCTAACAATTGTTAGTTGAAAACGTTCAATTTGCCATGCAAAGACATTTGACCAAATTGGTACCGAATATGATCAACTTAGGTATCATACCGATAATGCAAATGGTAAATGTACATTTATTTTCATTAAATACTTCATAAACCATGAACAAGGCCGATTTGAATACCTAGATTACATAATTTTGGGGTAAAGTACCAACTTTGTATACATTTATTTTGTATTTAATAATAAAATTACCACTATTTTAGATAGGTTTTATAAGTTTTAACACCGAGAAGTAACACAATGGGGAAAACTCAACTTGAAACTGTTTTAAGAACGTGATCTCTGCTTTCTTCTTAATTCAGAGAAACCTTCGGGAAATTATTTAACATAATCTTTCTTAAACAAATCCAAAAAAAAATAACTCTTCTGTTTATAATAAAACGTATGTTATTATAAGTATAGGCTTCACAATATTTACGCCCACAGATGCAAAAGAAAACAAGTACTATTTATTATTCCAAGACATGAACATAATTTAGATTTTTATGTTCTTATCATTGTACATTTGGTATATACATTTTCTTAAGTCAATATATATCATAAGTCAATATATTAAAGTTCTGGTTTCAACTGGCAGTATTAACAAAGTACAAAAATGTTATAGAACTGCCAAATCTAGATAAAAACGTGCCAGAATTCCCGGGCAAAGTAGAGATACTGAGCATTATTATGGGTTTGCTTCCATATCATACTCAATATACAGGACAGTGAGTATAACAGATGATAATTGAAAAAGAAGAAAACAATATTGCAATATTGATTACTCGATGTTTCTACAAAAAAGTATTTTCATTACAATTACTTCACTGATATGATGATACTATATCATGAATTATATTTTTTACTGGGCTTTAAGTTGTACATGTTGGTGTAACTTACACATAATGTTATAATGAGTAGTATGTATGTATAGTACTGTATTTGTACAGTAACAAGCTAATAGTATTATGGTGGACGTTCGTTTACAAATATTGTTTTTCACTAAATCAGAATAAAAATAAACCTTACAGGAATAGGTATTTTTCCTAATTTTCATTACTTAAGTTGTTAAAAATTATATTACATTTTACGTCCTACAAGAAATTTATCATAACAATATAAAATGTTTCCATCTATTTAAGTATACAATACACAAATTACTAATTAGATATTTAGTTTCGTTATACATCAAAGCTGACACGTACTCTTTGTGAATATTAATTTCATCCCAGAAAGATTATTGTTTAAACTATCTAAGAAATACTTTCGTACCCCCTGAGGGATGTTTAACTTGACAGGACAGGGTCAGACAGTAATAAAAGTTTAGTAATTTAGAGTGCCGTATTTTCCAGGATGAAATCCTTATAAATATATTACCAAGCAGATTTTGAAGACGATGGTTAAACAGAGTTTTAAAACAAGACAAGTTTTTATATCTTGAAGCAACAACGCATTACTGACTAAGTAAAGGTTCCTCTTCTCATAACAAATAAAGTTTTTCAATTTACAATGTATATATTTATTTGTTGTTTGACGTTTTTCCTTGGGATTAATGTGGTAGTAATAAAATAAGGATGTTATATTAATTACCCAAATTGTAATAGAAACCAATGGAAATATTGTTTATAATCTTAGAAGCTACTACCTTAAATTCAGTCGGTATTTTTTCCAATAAAATAAATTAATTTAGTTTCCGTTACATGGCCTATATTTGTGGTTTATATAAGTTCAAACTAATTTCAAACAACTAACCTTAACCTCTGGACAATCCTTGCATAGAATTCTTTTAAGTAATTATTGTATTAGGATTGGTAAAATTGCAAGTTAATAACATTGTTTTAATTTAAACATTGATTTTAAGCCTTCCTAAATATATTGTCGCTGGATATTTTTATTATTCGTGCTAAAATATGATAAAATAGTGCCATTGACAGTTTACATGACAAAATTGGTATTTTATTAGTTTTTGCAAAAAAATTATTACTAATTATTTAAAGGTTAGTAACAGTGTAAATCTAACATAATTGTTTTTATTGCTTATTAAACTATTTGTTTAGTTGGGTTGGTTTGTGGTGTTGGCTTTATGCATTAAAATAATTAATTAATTTAATTAATTTACGCCTACTGGTTACTGCTTGTTTTACAAAGTTATAGAACAATTTTCAAAACCAATAACTTTTTTAGCTTAATTGGATAATACACTATGAATACTTCGATGGTACCATTGCTGAAAATAAATATTATTTTACGTATAAAATAATATGATTATTAATTGCTTGGTTTAGGTTTTTTTTCTATGAAATGTATAAGAAATGGGAACCAAATAACTCTGATTGAAAATGATCAACTCTTGTGAAAAAGTAACAAAGAGAGATGATGCTTCATATAATGCGGACTTTCATTAAGTTTTTCTTTTATAACATAACGCTTGTTGCATAAGAAGACAAATTTCTTTTCAAAGGAATTCGTATCAAACAAAGTATTAATAAAGGCTTTGTCAATATATAACTGATATATGAAAGATATATTTGGTCGCATATTTATTCCATTACAGATTCTCATACAAGTACAATAACTAGAAAATTTTTAAAAGTAAATATTTTATATTATTTTTATTTAATCCATCTAATTGTATATACAAGGTTTTTCCTAAATAGATTTTCATTAACTACTTTACTATGTAGGTTGTATTGAAAACAATGAAAAGGAACTTAAAACACCTTGTTATTTTGATAAATGAATAAGTTTATCATTTGACGGATACTATGAATGATATCCTGAATTATTTAAGGGGTTGCAAGAAATATTAGTTACACAATCACTATTTTACTCATCCAACTTTACTTCCTATTGGATAAACAAGACATTATGTATATTATTATTGTAAGAAAGGAAGTTAACCCTGTACCCACGGTGATCATCTACGCAGACACTCTTTTCACATTACACTAAACCAGTTTGTGTAAAAAGAGTTAAACAGTAGCATCAGCACCGTGGGTACAGGGTCAATTCCCTTTCTTACACTATATAAAATCATAAATTGGGAACGAAAGGTAGCTCACTCAAAAGATACTCACTTAAAGTAGAGGAAGAGCCAAACGGCCACAGTAAGAGCTACCAAAGAGAGAGTGTAGCCAACGAAGTATATAGCAGTGGTGACTTCCACGCCACCTAGTTCCTCATCAGGTGGGACAACTAGGTTGTGACAAGCGGTGTAGTTGGTAGCGTTGTCCCATGTCAGATCTCGTTCGCACCACCTAGTTGCATTTTCTGAAACGAAAAATTGGGAGATGCAGATTTTTATGTACACAGTTTGACTCGTTCCATGATTGCCTATACTAGTTACTATACTACTAGTTTTGAATACCACCAAGCAGCTATCGGCTTGTCTAATTACATTAGCCTTGTTGTTCAAAGAACTAAGCTTTGGTTCAACCAAGTGGTGAAGTAAATTGATGGTGACATATTTGATATCATAGAACATAATTATAACAGTCTTACACGTACAAATTAAAAACGTCGGTCACAAATGACGCATTTCCAATAGATTTGGCTCGGTTATACAGAATGTCCCGGAACCCTCTACCAATATTTTATCGCATTCTCCCTGACTAAGAAACATATCTAAATATTCTATATAAATTGTCCGGAAATCCTTAGTTACTCACACAGCCACCATTTTCTTCACTTATAAATTGTTTTCTTAAAAGTGGTTAAAGATACGAAATTGAAACTTTGCACAAACATTTATGCTAAGTGGACAAAGCTATAAAAATAACTATGAACATTTTTCAAACTCATGAAACAAACCGGTGGCTAATTAAAATTTTGTTTCTTAAGTAACTCAAAAACCATTGATTTTACTAAAATATGTAATAATCAATTTGAAAACGTCGATAAATGTCTTAACTAATTAAAAAAAAAACTTACAAAGATTAAAAACAAGGAAAAAGTTATAAGGTAAAATATCCTGCTAAACAGTAAGTTGCAACATTCTCATCGAATCTAGAATAGAAATACCTTATCGTGCTTGACATGTTTAATATTTTTCAAGTTATAGTAGATGTGCGGCTAAATAATTTGTATTAAGCTAATGTGAACATGGGTTATACTGTTGTCTATATTGTATATCTTACATCTACTATTTTATCTTGATGTAGGCTATCTATTAAACTCAATGAGGTGTTATCAGTTATAAACAATTTTTAATATTAATATATTTCTAAGCAGAATCCAGGCAGCATTTTAAAAATCAAAAACTTTATAATACTGGTGTTTATTGTCATTTTATAAGTTACTACAAAAACATTTAGTAAATTCCAAAACAGTACAGTTAAGTAACAGAACGTGAATTATCATTTCAAGCCGGCCAAGAGCAACAGTAGACCTTTATCTTGGGCCTAATATTTGTTTTAGGCGCACTGTTGCCATTTGCCCTCAAACAGGAAGTTCATGCAAATATTTTACTTGCGTTGCTTTCTTTTGCTGATACAAAATGTATACGTGGTGCAAAGTTTATTCCTTGGTTGTTTTACAATATAACTATAGTTTCATCCTGTATGATAAAAGTTTGTTAAAAAACAAGGCTATATACCTCTTTACGTATTTTTTTCATTAAGAATCTCCTTACAATATTTTATAATTTCTGATCATAAATAGTACTATACAACTAGGAGTGTATTTTATAAACTTATGCACTTATAACGCACAACAAAACAAAACGAAATTGCTTGTTATAAGGTAGGTTCTCGTCTTTCTTGCTTCATCACTCAAGTGTAATCTAGAACATTTACAATTTGCTCTTCAGCAATTACTCACCTCGCGAGTAGCTCCTATTTATTACAAGTCGTTTGTAAGATTACACTCGTCTACTTTGTGTACTGCGAGACTAACTAAGTTTCAAACTAATTAAAACTATCTTCTCGTTTGTAGTTATTGCAGTTACCTTCATCAATGTCATACTTTTGATTCATGCATCTTTATTACAAGGTTCTAGAGTTTGTGTGGTTCATTATTGGGTTTGTGTAATAATGAGGTTGTGTTAAAATGAGAAGCACAAATAAGAGATACTTTATTCATAAAATGTTTTTATGTTTTCAAACTACTTTTTAAAATGATTAAACGCACCCCAACAATAGTACCAGTTTTTCGTGTGCAGATTATACATCAATTCTCAAAATTAAATATTTTTAATGATATTTCAGGATAAGAAATTAGGTTATTTACTAAGAGCAGTATTTAATTTTTACCCACATCTTCTTAACAAAAATATAAAAAGAATCACAGCAAAAATACGAAATTCCATGGTCCACTTTACACTTTACACTTAACATGTAAATCTTTTAATAGTAAACTATACATCTTTAACTTGAGGTACGGTACCACGTTTTTAAAAATTTAATGTTATATATATTTTAAAATATGTTATTTACAAATATGCATACTGCTAGTTTTCCAACTTTTTTATAATACGTTTTTAATTCACAGATCCAAATTAACTTAGTGAAAAAAAAGCTTGGATATAAAAGAATTTTTATTTACCCATAATTTTCAAACTTTGATGAACCCCCACAAAAATCTTCACCTTGGTAATCCTTGAAATGGCAATTGCAACAGAAAATATTGATAAAGTAAAAGTTATTTTGTCACCAAACTCACTGGAAGTATCGTACTTGATTCCATTCAGCTCCTCGAAGCAAGGTAGGCTGACTAGAGTACCAGGTTTAGTGGGAGGCCAACACAGTAGACCATCCCATAGTCTGGGACATAACTTTCTGCCGTCTCGTACGTCATCCTGGGACTGTAGTAGGCACTCTATCTCTCTGATGACCAGCTATAGACAGAAATCAAATATACAATCTGTCGTACTACTATTTTTTAGAGAATGTGATAAAATAATTATTAAATTTTAGTTAAATTTTAATATGACACAAATGTTACAATAAATAATAAAACAGCATAAAATCAACCCTCATTGTTTGAAAACTTGCTACCGTGGAACTCCCCTATTATACTCCGTTCACAGAGTTTAGGCACATGATGACTTATGACAGCAAAGTTTTATATACATTTTTTATTAATAAACTGGCTGTTTTTCCTTTCATAGCTTATTAAAATATTATATTACGTACTATTGTATCATGCATTGTACTAGGTATATTTTTTCACACGTAACGCATTAATGCAAAACCTGTAATATCAAACGGCTATAAAGAAAGGAAAATAAAGAACATTACGTGTATTGCAATATATAAACGAATTTTTAGTGGTCTAAATAATTTTTAAAACCTATACCAACCTGGTGGATCTTAGACTAAGCTTTTAAGATTTGAAACTTGACAGGGTAAAAACTATCATTATTATACTGATTTTACGAGTATATCCATGTAACATTTTCATCGTAAGAAATATATTAGTACAGAAACCAGCATCATAGTTTGTCAACAACAGATTTCAAATATTGCAATCTCATTTACATTTAAAGGTTTATGGTTGGTTCACAATAACAGTGATTGTAAATTATCCACGCTTCTTTTTTTAAGTTAAATAATACCTTAAGGGGGAACAACAACAAAACAAATATATTATTTATAGTGGTAGTGAGTAGAATGTATGGTACAGTATATATAATATCCAGGCCACTAGTGGTTATACTTTTGTATATTATTTACATGTTGTGTGTTTTATGCCTTTGTTTTTTCCTCTACGCATTATTTACATTCAACTAAACCAATTGCTGTAAATCTTCTAGGTTTAAACAGAACCCTTGATCACAAACTGAAAAAAGTTTACATCTTTTCTACATGTTCCAGTTTGCTAAATAAAGCTGCTTACCTCCGAAACTGTACCGTTTCCCGCCAAATCTAGCAGAGAGCGGTTCATGTAGCTGGATGCATCCATTAGGCCTTCCTGAAACATTGATTGGTAACTGCAGACGCTACCTGAATACATCTAGCACAGTTTGCTGAAATTGCACAACAAGATTATAGTTGGGTCTCTAGCGACGATACATGGGAGGTTACAGTGGAACAGTATTTCAGTCATTGTGGTATATAATAGGGGTTTTTTGACGAAGAACAATTCAGTTATTTTCAAAGTGATTGTGAATAGTTAGGTTCGGTTTATAGACGTTTTAAAGTCTTTCGTTAAGAATGTAATTCTAATAGCTGGAAAAATACTGATAAGAATACATTTTATAAAAATATACCATTCATAGATAATAATTACGAAGATGAAAATAAACGTCCTGAAGTTTCTTTGTTGTCTACTGCGTGATTACATTCATTTTTTCTAATTATTGCTAATCTTGAACCATATTTAATATTATAGTCTGTATCTCGCATCTACAATATGGATCTTGCACACTATTCGGAATCCGGCCAAGTTGTCACAATGTACCCTGTGTGTTACCCTATGTGTTTAGTTTTTATCTTTACACTATGTATATTTAGTCGATACATATTATGAGCAGGTTTTTACAACATTCAACACATTTTACTCATGATGTTATGTAAATAAAATAAATAGAAATAGACAACGCTTTTGTTTGGAAGAAAAACTTGTAAAAGAATAAGATACTTAGGTCCCGTATTCACATTCGTGTAGTGACTAAAATAACACGGACATTGACAGAACTTTACTGAGAGAAAGTAATAGATATCAGAAAGTTCAACTTTAGGGGATGAGAAGATTTATTTGTGAAGAACGGAAGAGATTTATATACTTCGCATGGCTTCCCTCAGAAATTGTTTGGTAGAAGCTTTCAAAACGTTACTTGCAAAATCAAAAGACGATTTACAGCAGCAGTTTACATAAAATAGCACACGTTTTCAGGTAAATAAAAAGTTGGGAAATTGGTTATAAATGTCATGTTCCATAGTTTTAATCACCTTTAAATCAAGTTGCAGACATAAAATGAAACAAAACTTGATTACTTTATTGTAGAAATAGTACAGATACATTAAATATATGTTAAAACTTGTTTTACGGCATAAGTACTGTACCATACATTTTCAAAAAAAAAAATTATAAACGAACTATGTCTAATACTTAGTTAAAGTCATGGGTTCATTAATGGTTTTGATAACTGGACCCAACCATGTTTGCTGGTTTTATTGGATCCAAGAGCAGAGAAGAAGAGCTAACAAATGTATTCAATTAACCAGTCCAGCAAGATCCACTCGTGGCGCCTGCTAGATGGATCGCCCAATCTACTTGAAGCTGTCTTGCCACCACAAGTATTGCCCTATAAGTTTACACTTAGTTTATTTATATTTTCTTTTTCATTGTATACTATTTTGTGTGTGTTTGTGTTCCATATCATAAAACTCATATTTACGCATTATAAATTAAATATTAGCAATACAAAACCAATAATACGATGAAAGATTATATTTTCAAGATTCAACAAATGTTAGATTATTTAAGACAAAAGTAATGTGATGGGGCAATTAATTGAAATTTCTTTTGTAGCAGTGATATGACCACGAAGGAGATGTTTAAACAGTTAATCATATTTCTAAACCATGATATACAGGGTGAACATTAATTCCCAGTAAATATTATAAAATAAAGATAGTGCTATAAGTTAGTTTGGCACTAAGTTACTTGGCATTAAAATCTTCTTATACATATTATTTAGTGATATGCTACCTCTTAAGTCCCGGAGGCAGAAAATCTCTAACGTAAGCATTCATTGATATGGACATCAAATTAACTAACTGGGTCTTTGTTAGTAAAATACAATGCCGCAAATTTGAATTCAATCTGACAACCTAGTTAAAATATCAGCCGTTCAATGATTCCTTGTTTTCCAATGCTCCCTCTTCTGAAGGCAACCCACTACAAGTCGGAAGAAGATCATTAATGTAGGCATTGTTAGATATGCATATCTAATTAAAGGGTTTTATGAGTAGAGTACAATGCCACAAATTTGAGCTCAAAAGAACAACCGAGTCAAAAATGACAGAATCAAATTGCTTTGAACGGCTGTCATTGTTGATCCATTTGTCCGTTTGAGTTACAAAAGGTTATATGAGGTTAGTTATATGAGGTAGTTAAAAAGTAAATACCTTTAATTTGGTCTGCATATCAATCTATCCTGACATTTAAGAATCTATGCTAGGGGGAGCGTAGCACTGTCTTGATTACTTTTTAATATATTTGGAATTTTATTTTCTAGATAGTAGTTCTTTTGAAAAATGACAAATCGTTTCAAAAAGGTGCTTTTAGAAATTATAGATGAATTGTTTGGGAATGTGTACCTTGGGTATAACACTCCAATTGTATAAATAAAATTTCAAGTGAGCTAGGCTGTTATATGATATGTTGTTATAGGATACTTATTGGTCCGTACCACACAGGTTTTTACAGGTTAACAAGGTTGTAAGGTTTTTCAATCTGTATAAAAACGTTTATGCTACCATCAAGTAAAGCTTTTATGTTACCGCATGAAAATGAGATCAGTAATATATTTCTTTACTCTCACTTTCTTATGAATATTAGGTTTTAGACCGAACGTTGTGGATATTTCAACAAATTCATATCATCCTTATAGTTTAAAAATTGACACTAATAATTTTAGTTAAAGAGAAAAAATGACTACTTTAAATAAACAATATTTGTATCTTTACTTGTTATGATTGTGTGGATTGAAAGTAACAATTAACGCATTATTCGTGATAAATAAATAGGTGAATCATAGTCATCAATAAGTGTAGCCTTAAGTGGTTTGATAAAAAACAAATACTTCATTAGTTAAACGTATTATATCCATTATCCAATCCTTTGGAAAAGAACATGTAAGCTAACTTAGCTGAAAGTTTTGTTTGTCTAAGGGATTAACATGTCAATTTTGGAAGGCGGAGAAGTCTGTTTAGAATTTTACTTGGCCTTTATTGGCAGAAAATACTTGAATATATTATCAAATGAAAACAAATCAGTACACAACAACTTATATTGACTTTTCTGATTTGTACTTGGAATATCGATAAGCACACTGGGGTTTAGAGAGGGAGATAACATTTAAGATCTCTTAAAACATGTTATATATACTTAATGTATAATATAATCCAAAACTCCATCAGAAACATTGAATTGAATAATTTGATAGGCTAAGGGCAAACCAGATACATTCTAGACAGGAGTAGACTAAAATAATATCCATAGTATTACTTAAGCTTTTATATATTCCATTGCGTTAGTACATAACCATCACATTTACATTAATCAAAACATATCTAACTAAGAATCTTGATAACAATATTTCAAATTTTTCATCAATCTTTTATAACAAACATTATAGTCAGTTTTTATGTAGATAAGCCATATTTTTTATCATCTATTATACCATACCGTATTAATTTGTAAATAACTACATCCCCGGAACTATGATTAATTATATTAGCTAACATGTTCAAAGAGTGTACCACGATCGTAATTATTACATAGAGAACTTTAATTATTACAAAAATATAATGGACTTGACGCTAAGTGTCTTCTTATTGCATCGCTATGAAATACAAAACCTCATACGCAATCTAATTAGCGACAAAACTAATTAAATGACAGTAAAATATGTAATTATTTTGTATGCGTTGTAATCTTCAAAGGTTTTTGAAATTACATTTTGGCCAAGCTAACAGGACAGTATCAGTCTTAAACTTACCTATCCCGTGTATGAATTGATATTTAGGGAATCTTGTTTTGATATAAGAACAAACATATTTTCATAATCTTTCCAACATTGTAATAAGAATTTATATACCATGAATTCAAATTATGGTAATAAGTCAGCTTTGTCTTAAGTTGACTTGTCTCATCATTTTCAATGCTAAAATACACATAAATCATTCAAATTTCACAAAATGACCATCAAACGTTCGGTTCTGTCAGACGATGGTTGATGTGTAAAAGCTCTGTTTAGCCATTCTAACGCCAATCAAGCGTTGCTACTGTTTACGATGCTTTAAGCACACTTAAAAATTGAAAGTGGAAAATCGAATTGTTTTCCCCATTTTACACAATTGTTTTAGTCATAAATAATAAGAATTTAATACATTATGACATTATTATATTGGTTGGTGCTTGAAGCTTAAACCTAGAACATAAAAATATCTATAACACATTTGCACATATTTTCAAGTGTTTGTGATTTAATACGATGTGGAATTTATTATTTTGTCAACAGTTTTTTTTTTGTTACAGAAAAAATTTTTTTATTTAAAATATCCCAAATACAATTATGTATGAAAAATGACTTGAAATTAAACTTATATTTAATAACCTTGACTTTACTAATATTGTTAACACTTTTTAATCTGCATGTTGTTGCATATTGCAGCTTTAATGCACTGGGTTCTGTATCTAACCTTTATGCAATGCTTTAAATGATAAATTGTTAAAACAATTTACGTTACATGTCAGATCTATACGTACCACAGTTTTCGATTAGGTAAAAAAGAGCTTATTAGAAAGGCTAATATTGCAAGTAAATTAAAAGTACTAAAAAAGTTAAATGCAATTAGGACGTGTAATTCAATATCCAAATAGACTAATTAATCATCACCGTAATCATTGTGCGATGAACCAAGTTTTTGCAGCCACTGGTAATTAGGGTAATTTTCATCGAAACATTGCGTTATAGTAAAAAATTCCAGAACTTATTTGATCAATTCCTCCCCTCATCAGAATTGGGAAATTGTTATGCAGAAAATATTTAAATTTAAAAGATAATAGAAACAATATGTTGACAATTTATTGGTTAAATAAATACATTTTTAATTTTGCATGGATATAGATTCTATTTTTGTGTCATACAAATTTTACAAATAACAGACAATAAAATTCTCTATTATTATGAATCAGAATTTATGTATGTTAAACTCTTAAAATCCCGTATATATTATATA